CTTTTCCGGCAGCTTCTTGGGGCTGCCCTTCTTTCTTTCTTTCTTTGCCCTTCTCTTGTTGTTTTCTTGGGGCTGCCCTTCTCTTGTTGTTGCTGCTGTTTGGGCGGCTGCTCGTTCCCTTCAGGGGAAAGGTGCCGTCTTTTTCCCTTTACCTTCACCCATTTTCCATCCGAGGCCTTTCCTGATGATGTTACTGTTTCTGATGCTGTTGCTACTGCATTTATTGGTTTTTTGTAGCTGGAGGGGTGGAGGCTGTACCTTTTTACCTGGGCACACCTTGGCCATGTGTCCCAGAACACTGCATGACCAACAAAAATGGCTGTCGTCCCTCCACCACCACCAGCATCCTCTTTTCACGGCATATGAGAGTATTGGGAATGTCCCTAAAGCCTCCCTTCCAAAATGATTCAGAGGGCCATGTCACCTTGGCTATGGTAAGATTTGCTTCTCTTCTTTCTTTTCATCCTCTACCTTACATGCTTGGCAAAGAATCCTCCTATCCTGTCTGCTCCAATGTCTATAGGTACCCTTTTCACCGTGATCTTTTTCGGCAAATTCTTTGTTTGCAGTGCTTGCTGACAGTTGCTTGGCTTTTCTGCTCTGTAGCTAGGAGGATGTCCCACATGGCATTTGATCTTCTGGCCAATAATTTGGGAGCAATTTTCAGGCTTCTGAGTGCCTCCTCCATACTTTCCCTACTGAAGCCAGCCAATTTCCGGCTCTTCACATCTGCTGTCAGAAGGGTAGATGGTTTTGTTTTTATTCCATCAAATGCTTCTTGGATCGTCAGGAATTCATTTCCTTTGACGAATTCACCATATTTCTCTCTTTGTTCCTGATAGTAAGCGGCGTTCTTCCTTTTCGGACTGTCTCCGTCCAGGCCGATGTTTTTTCTGGCGACGGTGTGTCAGTTTGCACCGTAGGAGACGGTGTAAGTTGAAGAATGTCCGCCATGGGGATTTCTCCCCACGGCAGTTGCACGAAAAAAAGTTCGCCTTTACGTTCTTCTTTTTTCTTTATTAAGAACAATAATTAACAGACAAACTAAAACCAAGTAAAACGGGAGAAACGAAAATAAAATAAAATAGAAACTGTGTGTAAAACAACAACGTGAAAAAAACAAAATCAAATCAACAGTTCAAAACGAAAAATAATTTAAACGAAAACGAGGGAGGTCAAAATAAAGGGAAATCAAAAACAATGCACAAACTCAAAACGTACAACAAAAAGGTGTTTTCCGTTTCAAACAAAAAACAAAATCTTTCACTTTTTTTTTTTTTTTCCCAATCACGATTTCACACGTTCTTTCTACAACAATATACTAGGGGATGAACTTAATTCAATCCCTGCAAACTAACAGATGAATCAAGCTTTATTTATATTCTTTCTCCACGCAGGTACCAGCAGCCAATCACAGCCCTTTCTTTTATCCCACTTTAGCCCAATGAGATGCTCCATTCCAACATAAATAGCTCTCTTTCTAAAGGTTGGATTATTATTTCCATTCTTTTTTTCTCCATTTCTTTGTTTATCGCTACCACGTGATTTTTCTACATAGCGCTGCGAACAGGATTCGAACCTGTGTTATTTGTTAATTATTCAAGAAATTTCTGTCCGTTTCCTTAATTTAGGCTGAGAACAGTTTAAGAGAAAGCACATCCTTTGTTTAAATTATAAATCCAGCAATCGGTTTTATTCCACGCACCCCATGTTATGAATAATCAAGAGGGGTCTCCCCTTGATTTTTTTTTACTCTTCTCTTTGAAAGAGCTATTTCTGTTTATTGGGACTATAAAAGGACACTATACGCGAACATTGTATTCACAGTTGAATAAAGCTTTCTTAAAGCCTACACTTGAGGACTTTTGTCTGCAAAATATATTTCTGATTGAATTAAGATCAGTTTTTTTCTGCTTTGACATCACCTTCAGTCTTAGAAAAAAATATGATAAAAAAAGATGAATCTTTAGTCTCAGCACTAGGTATCGCTGGCTCCAACACAAACTCAGCTTTGCGTTAAAAATTAGCTACAATACTCTGTGTTATGAATAATTAAGAGTGGTCTCCCCTTGTTTTGTTACTCTCCACTCTGAGAGAGCTATTTCCGTTTACTGGGACTATAAAAGGACACTATACGCGAACATTGTATTCTCAGTTGAATAAAGCTTTCTTAGAGCCTACACTTGCGGACTTTTGTCATATTGCCCTATTTATTTAAAAGTGTAAATCACTTCCCGAAAAGGTATGATGGAGACACAGACTTTTAGAATTTTCAATTGAAAATCTTGCAGTTTATTTTTTCATCGTTAAAATTATTGAACAACCTTGATCACAAATGTAAGTGGTTGGCAAAAGTAAGAAGTTTCCATGTTTTTTTTTTAAGAGACGAGATACATACTCTACCTATCAACTCTATCACAACAATTGAAAAGAATTGATCTAAGCTTAACATTAATTTTGAGATAACTACTTCTAAAAATATAAGAGAGATAATTAATATCCAATAAGTTAAAATTTGAAGGAATCATTTACTCTATCACCTGTAATGGTTGTCACAAGGAATACATATGCGAAATCTTGAGGAATTTAAATAAAATATTATATGAAGAAAAAAAGTCTTTTTTTAAAGAACCAACGCACCCAACGCTCGTTGTAATGAGTCTGAAGATAATTTTCATTAAAAGAAAGTATTGCTTTAATTGAAAGATAAAGAAATCTACGAAGATCGAACTGTAGAGAATATGTTTTGATCACGAGAGCTTCCAGGGTAAATTTGCGATCAGGTTCCTATAAAAACTTACCCTTCTTGGCAGGTCTATCAAAAGCAGAAGGAAGCTGAATAAAATCGACTACACTGCATGCCTATGTATGTCTGAAAAAAAAAATAACTTTAAACATTTCAGGATTTTCTATCTTATAATTATAATGGACACTCATCTCATACCATTCCTATACAACTCGCTATTTACATTATTCGGATTCTTTGTTGTCATATTTATCACGTTGTACGCTCCGGAGGTGGTTGGATTGAAGAACTGAACCCTTTATTTTGCTCGCTGGGGTAGACTGTTCTAGTTCCACGTGCCATGTATAATGGATATCACTTATCTGTTATCTCCAGTTAATTCCCCTCTCCAAGTTCTCCACTGCTTTAACCAGGTATTGAACTCACTCATATATATTGTTCCAGGATCATTTCCAACTTATTCACAACTCTTTGGGTCCTGCCACAGAATCTAACCAACAGCTTTATCCACTGTGCCATGTGTCCTTAAGCACATCTGTGTATGAATTTCTGGGACTTATAAACATAATGTCTTCCTCAACCGTTTTTTACCAGTGCATATATTGCAATGTTTGCTGTTATCATTGAATTTTTTTTACCAGAGCTCATATTGCAATGTTTGTTGTTATTATCGCTTTTCACTGGCACTCCTTATTACAGGTTCCCATATTGTGTTCATTTCTATGCTTGGTTGGCTCAGCAGATTTTTGTGTCCTATAAAACTAGATCAACAACAAACACTGCTTTTGTCCCAACTAAGTCGATGTAATGAAAAAACCCGTTAAACAGATTTTTCTACTTTGTCATTCATTTACCTAATATTATGTCATATAAATTTCTATATATCAGAACATGCCATTCAAAACTGTTGTAGAGATGAACACGCCTCACCAGAATATGACTTTGGCTCGTCGAAATGCATATCGGGTGTAACAGCAAAATTGTCCTATTATTAGATTAAGGTCTAAACAATTGTATTGATAAAATGTATCTTACTGGAATTCTCCGGGGTTTTTATGACACTATTGTACTCTACATTGAACAATAAGAATGCATACTCTATTCTCCCAGCATAACAGAAGAATCACGAGGAAATCGATCATAAAAGAAAATGACATGTTCATCATTAATTAATTATAGTTAAGGATCAAACCCAGGAATTATTCTTAAATCAACACACACACACACACACACACACACACACACACACACACACATATATATATATATATATATATATATATATATATATATATATATTATTCCCAGGATCATTTTCCAACTTATTCAAGATGATCTTCAGCCTCTTTAACATTCTAGCTTTCTGTCCTGGAGTAACATGCGAACTCACACGTTTCACGTAGGATTTTATTTTCAAGTCTTTTTTTTTTTCACTGCTCTTTCGACTGTCATAGTTGAAACTGCTCTCTCACGTGCCAAACGTCCTCTGAACTGAGTTGGGCCTTTTCCAAGTGATCTCTTTAGCTCTAAGTTGAAATTATGATCCCTCTTCCTGCTGTTACCTCCGGATCCAATTTTCCTCTTTATTTTTTCTCTCCTTTTTTAAAAACTTATTCATTCTCTCCTGATGGTTCTTGAATGGACTTTGAAGATGGAAGTCAGATTATAAATGTTGGTACCATTACTGAAGGCCTGAATGATCTCAACATTGCTCAGTTGGGAAGAGTGTGGGTCTGACACAAAACAATTTTAACCTGTTCTATTTCTAGCTGAATACCTTAAAGGGTTTTTCAGTGATTCTTACGTTAAATACTGTCAAGATGGGTAACCGACTTTTCTTGAAATCTGGAAAAAAGAAATTAGTTTATTTTTCTGTATATTAAATATTTTTTTGGATGGTTATTTATGATGTTACACGATTTGGGCAATTTTGCTCTTCCACCCGGTATAATCTGACGCCAAGAATCGTCAGTAGGAGAGAAAAAGTAAAGAGTTAGATCCCGAAATCATCTGCTTAGTACCGATTTCACCAAGACTGTTGGTTCCAGGTAACATTCTACTTCTTGATTGTGTCATCTTCTGTAATTGTCGTGAGCAAAATACACGACACCATGCCCAAAAACGCCCATGCATTGCATGCATATAGTGTTGCAGATCAGTTGGGGGAAGGGAGAATTGGCGGAATGCGCCTACGCATATGTAAAATTCTCCCACTCAACCGATCGGCTGCTTCGTCATGGTCTATAACATGAATATGTCTGAAGGCTTTGGCAGTGGGCGACGAGGGAGCCGACGAGGACGCCGAGAGACGACTGCCCTGTACGAGACAACTTTCCCTGTTCCTTCTCTATCTTTTTTCTTTCGTTCTTTCTTTTTCTTTCTTCCTTCAGAGTATGAGAGAACAAAACCCTAAAGTATAGTATGAAAAAAATCTACAAAAAGAGGCAAGTTAGTCATCACGAAAATTCTATGAATTCATCTTGCAATACAGAAAGCAAAATGTCTCTTTTATTGGGAATAATGGACATCTGGTTTCTAAACATTTAAAAAGTGGGACATGTCAAGACAGCGAGACACTTCATCACGTAAGCGCTTTTTTTCATACACCTAGTGGTACGGGTACCTCGGTTTTAGACCCCATGTATAAATTAAATAAATTTGTTGAAACATGAATTCTCCAATTTTTCTTCTCAGAATTTCCTGTTTTGATCATAATGACTAATAATTAAAATATATTTATTTTCATCACTGTCTATTTAAATTACGGGCATTAATAATCTATCTATCTATCTATCTATCTATCTATCTATCTATCTATTTCACTAAGTTTATATTCATCTATCTATTACTCTTTCAAACCAGGTAACAACATTTCTTTTGCTAAGAGATATTTGATTGAACATTTCAGTTCTTCACATCTATCTATCTATCTATCTATCTATCTATCTATCTATCTATCTATCTATCTAACTATTGGTTGGTTGAAAGTAAAAATTATTATGATAGCAAATACGTTTGTATGTGTGTAGATCTTGGAGTTTTCTCGGCAAATGTAGGGAGTATATGGTGATCACTGTTTAATTTGATTTTAACAAATTGCCTCTTGGTCAAAACCATTCATTTTTCAAGATATTTTCAATTAGGGTTCTGTGGTAGGAAAATAGAAAAAGCAGTAATATAAGTAAATAAATAAATAAGAAGGAAATTACCTGGTTGAACTGGACGTGGAAGGTAATCTAATTAAATGTGTGACATTTTTCTTTATAATTGGTTTCAGATGCAAAGATTGTCTTTCTTGTAGCGTTGTCATTATCGCTAGCCATTTATCTCTTTTCTTGCAACAAAGTATATTTCTTCTCCCTTCCTTTTCGTGTACGCTATTGTCTTTCTTTCTTTCTTTCTTTCTTTCTTTCTTTCTTTCTTTCTTTCTTTCTTTCTTCTTGCAACCCCGTATCTTTCTTCTTCATTCCCTTTCCGTCTACTCTATCGTTTTTCTTTCTTTCTTTCTTTCTTTCTTTCTTTCTTTCTTTCTTGTTATTTCTTGGAGCCTACGTTCAGCTGTTAAGAAAATCAGTTCACTATCTCGGACGAGACAATTTTTCTCTACAAGACTATCTTACATATCTATAAGTCTTCTATTCGTCCATACTTAGAATATTGCTGCCACATATGGTTCGGTGTTCCTGCTGTTTACTTTGCCATACTTGATAATATCCATAGAAGAATCTGCAATATTATTGGTCCTGATCTGGTAAATCACCTTCAATCACTTTCCCACCACCGTCTGCTTTCTCTGTGTCTTTTCTATAAATAATTTCATGGTAATTGTTCCGATGAGATCTTCGCTATGGTAATTAGAGTTTTTGAAGTTAAGAACAACACTTCATCAATATACAGTTGGGTTAACTAGATGTAGGCGTTTCTGCTCCTAATACTTCCATACTCTGTAACCCATTGTGCTGTAGTGGCATTACTGCCTTGCTTGGGGTGACATCGATTAAAAAAAAAACAACAAATATAATCACTATATTTCGTCTTTCATTCCTTTTTGTCAACTCAATAGTCTTCTTTCTTTCTTTCTTTCTTTCTTTCTTTCTTTCTTTCTTGCAACCCCGTATGTTTCTTCTTCATTCCCTTTCCGTCTACTCTATCGTTTTTTTTTTTCCTTCTTTCTTTTCTTTCTTTCTTTCTTTCTTTCTCTTTCTTTCTTGCAACCCTGTATATTTCTTCTTCATTTCCCTTTCCGTTTTCTTCTTTCTTTCGTTTTTTCTTTCATTCTTTCTTTCATTCTTTCTTTCTTTCTTTTTTCTTGCAACCCCGTATATTTCTTCTTCATTTCCTTTCCGTCTACTCTATCGTTTTTTTCTTTCTTTCTTTCTTTCTTTCTTTCTTTCTTTTTTCTTTCTTTCTTTCTTTCTTTCTTTCTTTCCCCGTATCTTTCTTCTTCATTCCCTTTCTTCTTCGTTTTTTTTCTTTCTTTCTTTCTTTTTCTTTCTTTCTTTCTTTCTTTCTTTCTTTCTTTCTTTCTTTTTCTTTCTTGCAACCCTGTATATTTCTTCTTCATTCCCTTTCCGTCTTCTCTATCGTTTTTCTTTCTTTCTTTCATTCTTTCTTTCTTTCTTTCTTTCTTTCTTTCTTTCTTGCAACCCCGTATATTTCTTCTTCATTCCCTTTCCGTCTACTCTATCGTTTTTCTTTCTTTCTTTCTTTCTTTCTTTCTTTCTTTCTTTCTTTCTTTCTTTCTTTCTTGCAACCCTGTATATTTCTTCTTCATTCCCTTTCCGTCTTCTCTATCGTTTTTCTTTCTTTCTTTCATTCTTTCTTTCTTTCTTTCTTTCTTTCTTTCTTTCTTTCTTTCTTGCAACCCCGTATATTTCTTCTTCATTCCCTTTCCGTCGACTCTATCGTTTTTCTTTCTTTCTTTCTTTCTTTCTTTCTTTCTTTCTTTCTTGCAACCCTGTATATTTCTTCTTCATTCCCTTTCCGTCTTCTCTATCGTTTTTCTTTCTTTCTTTCATTCTTTCTTTCTTTCTTTCTTTCTTTCTTTCTTTCTTGCAACCCCGTATATTTCTTCTTCATTCCCTTTCCGTCTACTCTATCGTTTTTCTTTCTTTCTTTCTTTCTTTCTTTCTTTCTTTCTTTCTTTCTTTCTTTCTATTTATTTTCTATCTTTTCAAGAGTTAATTTCTCATTACTTTTAATCTTTTTATTCCTTCTTTCTTCAGTGTATTTCTTTTTCATTCTTTTCAATTCTTTTTTCCTTCCTTCCTTCTTTCTTTATTTCTTCTATTTCATTGTCTTTCTTTCATTCACATTATTTTCAAAATTTTCAATTGTTTCTTCTTTATCTGTCTATATTTCTGTGATGAGGTATTCTTCAGGTGATTGGAATTTCGAACTGAACACTTTATTTCTTCCAGCGGAGGTAGATTGTTCTAGTTCCACGTGCCATGCCTCTTCCGGATGTCTCAGATACCTGCCTTCGTTGTGTATTTTTTTCTCGTTATTTTCTTTCTTTCCATTTGTTTGTTTATTTGTTTGTTTGTTTCTTTCTCATTATATTCCTCCTTTTTAATTCTTTAATTCTCTTTATTTTCATTCCCTTCAATTTTTCTTTTTTCTTTTTTTTTCTTTCTTTCGTTCTTTCTTTTACGGGTTTATCTTTCTTTCTCATTATTTTCCTTCTTTTCTATACTTTATTTTCAATCCCTTTAATTCTTTCTTTCTTTCTTTCTTTCTTTCTTTCTTTCTTTCTTTTCTTTCTTTCTTCCAAGTACGGCATTATCTTTCTTTCTTTCTCATTATATTCCTCCTTTTCAGCACTTTATTTTCAAACCCTTCGATTTTTCTTTCTTTTTTTCTTTGTTTCTTTTTTCTTTCCTTGTTTCTTTCTTTGTTTGTTTCTTTGTTTTTTTCTTTGTTTCTTTCTTTCTTTCTTTCTTCCAAGTACGGCATTATCTTTCTTTCTTTCTCATTATATTCCTCTTTTTCAACACTTTATTTTCAAACCCTTCGATTTTTCTTTCTTTCTTTCTTTCTTTTTTCTTTCTTTCTTTCTTTCTTTCTTTCTTTCTTTCTTGTACGGTATTATCTTTCTTTCGTTCTCATTATTTTCTTTCTTCTAAATTCTTTCTTTTTCGTTACTTTCAATTATTTCTTTCTCTCTCTCTTTCTTTCTTTCTTTCTTGTACGATATTATCCATTTTCTTTCTTTCTTATTATTTTCTTTCTTTTAAATTCTTTCTTTTTTATTATTTTCAATTATTTCTTTCTTTCTTTTCCTTTCTTTCTTTCTTTTTTCTTTCTTTCTTTCTACCTTCTATTGTATTATCCTTTTTCTTTTTTTCTTTTTCAATATTTTCTTTCTTTTCAATAGTTTCTTCATTGTTTTTTTTGTCACATTATTTTCTGTTAAATTTTTGTTCGTTTCTTTCTTCTTATTTTTTTCATTTACAATACTTTATCTCACATTCATTTCTATCCTTTCTGTAGAATTTATCCGGGTCGTGATGGATCCTCTTTCGATCTTCTTCGTCGTTAATTCTGTTGAAGATGGCCTCCACCATCTGGGAGATATCAGATTGTAGTTTCTGTTTTAGCAATCTTTGGCGGGTTTTCTTTCTCTGTTTGGTATCTTTCTTTCCTTGGCAGAAAACAACGTAACATATTTTTACCCTACATCCGTTTGCTGACACTCCATTCCCATTGGAATTGCTATAAGCCAAGTGATATAAAAAAAATTCCAAAAGGTGAAACCTGAAATCTAGAAAGAAACTCCATAAATAAGTTCAATTTCTTCAAATCAATTTTCAAAAATCCCTGAAGCGAAATTGTGTGACGACGGGATTTTATACTCTTCCCAAGTGCGTTCACCTTATATCAAATGTTAGCTGGATTAAGATGATGTCGGATTACAGGACATTTTCCCTTAGAATGGATTGATAGGAGCACAAATAGTAACTGTGAATAAATCGATTTGATCAAATATTGAATAGATTAAAACACAATCTGACTTTTACCTATAGAATAAGCTTTTTTTTTACAGCAAGGTTCACTCTGTACAAGGCCCGGGGTCATTCAAGTTAGAGGGTTACGTTAAGGTGTAGATTATATGGATAGGAGAAGATGACGGTTGGTTCTAGACTTGAACAGGTTAACCCTTTGCCAGTCCTGCACATCATATTTGATGTAGAGGACATGTAATTTCCCCGTCCGTGAATCATATGTGGTTCACATGAGCCATGATTTTAAAAGAGTGATAAAACTAAGGACTCTTAAGAAAAGAGCCTTCTATTAAGGACGACTGAGGAAAGGCCTAATCTAATATTTTGTGTATCATATACAACAGGTCGCTTAATAATGTAAGGTCTCAAATAAAAGGCATCTGCTTTTCCATTTTATTGAAATGGCTGTAACTTTTACATTGCATGTAATATAGAGAGCGTAGTGTAAATAACTTTTGAGTTGCTCGATGCTACTTAGTAGTTGTTTTGTTTTTTTTGTTGTTTTTTTTAGATTTTAGAAGTATCATGCTATCAGAAAGCAGAGTGGTAAAGAATTTAAATAGAAGCCCAAAAGGCAAACTATGCTTTGGGGACTTCCAGATCCAGGCATTTAACTCTGTGGTAAAGCACGTAACAAACGACGTAAGATGCAACACAGAAAACTGATATCATATTACAATAGTGTAAAATATCTTTCCAAAACTCAGTATAAACAGATAGGAAAATAGATCTTAACCCTTTGCCTGTCCTGCTCATCGTATGTGATGCACAAGACATGTGACTTCCATATCCGTGCATCCACAGGAGTCATGATTTTAAAAGAGTGGTAAAACTAAAGGCGCTTAAGAAACGAGTCTACTATTGAGCAGGACGTCTGACGAAAGGCCTAATCTAATGTTTTCTGCACCATATGTGACCACAGGAAGCTTGACTGATAATGTAAGATCTCAAATGAAAGATATCTCTTTTTCTACTTTATTGAAGTGATTATAACTTTGATATTACATGATTTGTACGTTCTGTACATCACATGTACTGCACAGGTTTTTATTATACGAAACACTTAAATAAAACTAGATTCTTATGATTTGCAGAAATGTCTTACATTAAAAAAAAAACTCGAACAGCGAAAATTAAGCGAAATTAAAAAAGAATTAAGAAAGTCAATTGAAAATGAAACTTACTGAGCATTAAACATTACAAATTAATATTTACTTTCGAGAGACATTTAAGTTTCCATATATAAGTCCCTGTATTTTGTTAAGATATAGTTATACAATAAATAACACATTATATGCGAAACTGTCCTCATATCCGAACTACTCTGAAGTTCAGATATGAAGACGTCTACTGTATACATACATACACACATACATGTATATATATATATATATATATATATATATATGTGTGTGTGTGTGTGTGTGTGTGTGTGTGTGTGTGTGTGTGTATAGTGGACTCTCCCGTCGTATTCGACGTATGAGGGTCAGCTGAATACAGTTACCTGGTGCACTATGTGCCACAATATCCCCAAACAACCTTCCGCAAGTTTCGAATACAGAGTTGTCCTTCTCGAGACCAGATACCATCCAAAGCTATAAAAAATAGTCTGTCCTGCTAAGTACCCATAACTGGAGGGAGAAGAAGAGGATTCATACCTTTCCCAACGGTATTAGCAACTTATATATATATATATATATATATATATATATATATATAATAAATTCGCTTGAAGATGAAACAGAACTAATACTATTTAATTATATAATTAAATTTGAAGTTTAATTTTTTTAGCTTTGGTTTTTGAAACATGGTAATTCCTGTGTAGCGAAGAAATCATATTTTAAATCTGTTAATCTATAGCGATAAAGCAGTGAGATTCTGATAGAAATACAAATAGGGAAGGATAATACATCGTTTTCAGAAAATGTTGGTCGGATTATAAAGCTGTCGGACTACAGGGAATATACCGGCTGGTAGAAAAAAATAAGGAAACCAGAATAAAATTGCATGTCGGCCGAATAAAAATGTCTGCTTTGAATTCTTATCCCTTGGTTGGTTTTGCAGAAAGTGATTTTCCAAGCGTAGCTTAGATGTGGCACAAGGCCGAAAGTATGGGGCACCCAGTGAGGATCGAACTCACTACTCAGTCGTAATTTTCCTAGCGAGACAAGCTTGCCAACCATTACGTCACGGAGAGATGACCGCAATAGTGATTTTCCAAGCGTAGCTTAGATCTGGCACAAGGCCGAAAGTACAGGGCACCCTGTGAGGATCGAACTCACTACTCAGTCGTAATTGTCCTAGCGAGATAAGCTTGCTAACCATTATATCACGGAGAGCTGACCGCAATATTGATTTTCCAAGCGTAGCTTACATCTGGCACAAGGCCGAATGTATGGGGTACCCAGTGAGGATCGATCTCACTACTCAATCGTAATTTTCCTAGCGAGACAAACTTGCTAACCATTACACCGGGTTGAGGTGCCCTAAGACAAAAGTTAAATGTGAATAAGACGTTTTGATTCTATGCTAATCGGTAAAGATGTCCGGGTTTTCGTTTCTTTTGCAATCATTTTCATTCTGACTTTCTGAATCTAGTGTTATCTTTTTGTAATATTTTTTTTCTTTTTACTTCCATTGAATACGAGTTGAATTGTTTCGCAAATTATCTCTGATCAAAAACCTAATTTAAATCCAAACCTGCCGTTTCGCACATTACTTTCTACGATTCCTGTCTTTCAAGTACCAATCGAAAAACTTGCCGACCTTATAAGATGTCTTTGAATATCATGAGAAAACCGAGGTAAGGGTAGCAGTGGATCTTGTTGTAAATATATCCGCAGGGATATTCTAGAGGCATAATCGATATCGATGAATATAAAACTGAATCTCTTTCCTGTCCAGCTTCCGCTTACTGTAATAAAACAACAGAGCCGTCATCACAAAAGCTGATTAACACTTCTATTGTGAAACATGAATGTGTACTGGATATTTTAAACAATTCATGTGTATTCGAATTTTCAAATTAATATATGTATACAGTAGAAGTCCACCTATCCGAACGTCCTTATATCCGAACTTAGACTTAGTCTTGACATTTAGATGTAGAAATATCCGACATTCTATTATTTTCTTTTCTTTGCAGATAATTGTTAGTAACTTGAAATTTCTCAACCCATAATATCTTGGACAGAAGGAACTTCAACTGGAAGAAAATGGAAAAGAAATTTTCCTACTTTACGTCAGAGATTAGAGATTATTAAAAAAAAAAATGGACGAAGTTTCGAATTCGCTGAATTTGCAAATTAACAAACAAGTATTGAAGAATCTGAACGAAACACTAAAACTTGCGCTTGAAGATGATCCACTGAATATTCCAACTTAGGAGGACTCAAGAGAATGGATAAATAAAGAAGGCTAATGAATTACTTGACTTTGATATTTAATAGCTCTGCACAATAGTTTTTCTATTTTACATTGTCTATTGAAGATTTTTTTATCACCGTTTTCCGGACAAGCCTAACTTGTGTGTGTATGTGTGTCTGTGTGTGTGCGGGTGTATGTGTCTATGTGCCTATGTATGTATTTATGCATGTGTGAATGTATACATGTATGTGTGTCTATATATGTATGTGTGCATATATGTTTGTATGCATATGTGGGGCTTACGGATATATCACTTTGAAACATCGGTTCTCAGACGATCACCGGAGTGAAGCAACGTCGAGCCTGGTCAGTACCTATATGAGGGACTTGTCACCTCGCACTACCTTCTGCATTGTCCCGTTATCGGCAAGTAAACCGTTTCCCACGCCAGGCTTATAAGCGTAGCAGTTGTTTAGTCCCTATGCTCATTTTACACGCTGAATGGCAGATTGATCGTCTTGAAAAAGCCATTTCCGTTCAAAATACAATTAAGATTTACAATGATTTATTGCGTATAATTCTTTTCAGGTAAGGAGGAAATTCCATTTGAAATTGTTTAAAGTACTTGTCATAACAAATAGGGTCTGCAAGACAAATGGCGAGTCACGTATAAATGGTAAGGGTTGTGACGTAGACTATTTGTGACGGCTAAAGATTGAACCATATTTCTTCCTGTCTGTATTACTGAGATGTGGTATTTTAATTATTTGGAGTTGGGTTAATTTGCCTAGTTCTAGGTTAGGCAATCTTAGTAAATCTAGATACCCGCTTACCTAAGAGCCATAGTTATATATAGCAACCAACAAAACGAATATATATATATATATATATATATATATATATATATATATATATATATATATATATATATATATATAATTTGGTATATACGGAATGAATTCCAATAACCAACAATAGTAATAAGAGCTTATATCCAAGTATA